TAGCAGCCTCCCGCTGATAATCGCGCACAAAGAAAAATTAAATTTGCGGCGAGTACTGAATGACGTTCCGTTGAAGAATAATTTCCTAATAAACCAAAGCTACCGTGAGGTACCTAATGGCACAACAGACAGACAGACGTAACTCTTGTTCTTGGCGCGTAATTTATTTCATGTGTCAGAATCGATTGCTGTGTAATGACTTTGAAACTTTAACACCATCAGAATTATATTTTCTGTGCGAACAGCCGTATTGTAACGAAGTACATTTAGTATGTCTGGATGTGCTTCACTTTATCGATGACTTACAAGAAGAGTCGAATACAATGAGGTGAGGAGTGTGGATGGAATTAATAGTAGACCCTAGTATTTAATAGAGCCTCTTATTCCAAAACTTCATTACTCCAGGAGAACCCACATAAAGAAATCTTCATACTAACCGCTGTGAAAACCTCAAATCTTACATATCGGAATAAGCTTACAAATATCTAGAACTTTTTTCTTTTTTGAAATTTCTCTCTTATGTGAATTCTTTCCTTACATACTCCCTCTTGCCAGTTATTTCCAACAGCCGAAATATACGCGATGTTTCGTAAATCAAGTCATTTTTTTAAAATAATGACACTATAACATTCAATATTGTGATTATGAAATTGAAACAGCTTACACAAAGTAGAATTATTGCATAAAAGTAAACTACCAATTTCAAATTTTTGGACTTTTTCAATTGCCATTGTGTTTCCTTAAACCACCACGTTTCTGGAGATGGTTCGTCCCGCGACCTTGGGTGAAAGTACACAGTTAAGCTCGTTAGATGGATCCAATCTCGTTCTGTGGACCATGGAGCAAAATGGCAAATAAAAAAGTAAAAAACAAAAAAACAAAAAAACTGATAATTCATAACATTTAGAGATAATATTAAACTAACAGAACAGAATCACATATACAATTACGAGAATTTTTAAACTTTTTTAACATAACATTAAATAATTAACTGCATATCACAATGCTTTCATTACAAATTGACCACCACTCAGCTTCTCAAGAAATTCTCAATTTATATGAAATATCAACGGTCATCACCGTGTTTAAAAAATTCCGCCATGCCCGGTATAAAATTTAAGTTTATATTTGTCAGTCACAGGTAAAATTTGGCGACTATTGTTCTACATACATTTAGACTTGTCATACAAATTTCTTTTCTAAAATTTTTCCTCTATTTAAGCATGGGTCTCCAAATGGTATCCATCCTTCCTTCCTTAAAGATTCGTATAACCGCTCATTCAGAGCCTTCTAAAGATTCATTGCACAGTAATTACGGCCAGGACTCTTCTTGCCTGTCATGAAAAATATGTGTGGGTGTGCCTATCAGTGTTAGCAGTTTCGTATTTAAATATTCGACATTGAAAATCTATATTTATTTTTAACTTCGTCATAATTAGTGGTAAATATATTCCCATCCTAATTTTATATTTAAATTTAAACCAGACCTTGGCAAACCTCAACTCAAAAGAGAAGTTTTCTACCCAAAATAAAAATGTACAAACAAGGAGTTTAAATAAAAATGAATTTTCCCCTTGTCAGGACAAGAAAAATCCTAATTCGCACTAAAAATTTCTTACTTTAATTTCATGGAAATAATACATTTCAACAGGTAAAGTCAAGCACTCATTTTAATAAACAATCTGACTTCAAAATTGTTATAAACAATATTAAAATTTAATGGAATCCAGATAATTTAAAACAACTGAGCTGTTTAATTAATGGACAGTAATAAACATTTTTCACATTACTGGGTTAATTAACGACTCCTTATCAACTGGGTAACGAACCGAATTATAGGATTATTATGAATTATGAATCGGAAAGAAAGCGGTCGCTATCTATTTAAGTCACTGCCCAAGTTTGTTTGAAAGGGTGCAATGAAAACGCGAACACCTGTCACGTCAGCCAGTTTCCGGGCCAAGATTCGAAAACTAGATTGCCGGAATAGAATGATAACTAACCACCACACCGCAGCATGTGTTAAGTTATTCTTACTATGGAGCGCTATTATTTATAAATAAACAGAAAAAAGAGAGCGATTGGTTATCGTTCATTCTTAACACCTCATGTCCTTAAGCTTTTTAACGTGAAATATGACTTCCGGTAAAACTGTTAATATACTCCGATATTTGTGCAGTTATAAAAGTTGTGACAATGCTATATTACTGTCACGGAAATTTTTCCTTTCGGCACTATCAATTTCAATTGTCTTGGTCCAAATTGATGTATCGCATTTCGGAGGCTGGTCCTATACTCTTATTTAGGTGTAACGAAATGGTACCTGTTCTGTAAGGTCCTTTAAATGAGTCTAGTCCTTATCACTGCCTATATTACGTCATCGACAACTTTGTAGAGAACTTAAAACACACGTCGGACACGTAGGGGTAACATTCTGGTCTCCTCTTTACCCCCAGCCAGGGAAATCTCTAAGAGTGC